CCTTAACATACTAATAGGTACACTCAAATATATCGCTTCACATTCTCTTTTCATTGCTCTAAAAATTTTATTCGGTTAATTAGAATATTACTGGAGTTTTCCCAACACCAAACCGTTAATTTAACACCTCGACACGTGTTTCGATCACCAAGTGATCATCTTCAAGAGGAAGAACAAACCGTTTGATCTTACTCCACCAAAGATTCCGAACAGTGCATCACAAGCGATTAATTAGACTTCAGAAAAGCATTCATTTATTGAGTTTGATATATTCCATAACCATGAAAAAAGTCATCTGTGGTAAATTCTTGTGGGTGCCTTGATAAAAGTTTCTTGGACTAAACAAATCTTTGTTCGAATCCGAAAAATTAAATACTTCACTTTAAAACAGTTCATATATGGTTCAGATGCTGTACCAGTTGCACATATCTTGTGACGTCATATTCATAGTCGCTATCGATTTGAATTTTTGCCGTTGTAACTTCAGCAGTGATCGGGCACTTGTGCAAACTCAGCCAAAAATGTCTTTTCTAACTGTAATTTTCATGATAATTAATTGTGCTTTTTGTATCAGGCGTTAATCTCAAGCCTTCAAAGATGAAAATTGGAATTTTGAGGTTAGAAATAAAGTTAACGTAGTTACACGTTATCTTCAACTATAATTTGTATTATTTCATTTTAATTAGTATTAGTAGCACTTTAGTTAGTAGGTACAGCTAATGTAATACTCACATCGAAATCTATACATTTCCGAATTTGACAGAGCAAAAGTTACTATTAGTTAAGAAGCAATGAACCTCAGAAAAACAAACAATTCTCGGCAAATTGAAACATGCTCCAATAAATCCAATTTCCATCATGAGAAAACTTCTCAGAGTCGCTTCCAGAGGAAGTAAAAAGTATACAAATTTGCTGTACCAGAACAAACACACTATCTATAGACACGCGTTTCGGTAACCAAGTTAGCATTATCAGGAGATGACTAATGAATGAGTGAATATATGTTTATTGTCTCAAGAAATGAGATTCACTTCACTTTTGTAATTGGACTATGTGTTACAAAATAAGACTTAAGCCCAAAAAATAAATAAATTAACTTTTTTTTGTTTGCAAACACTTGTTATAACGTAACGATGCTAAGTTAAAGAAACGCGCGTCGAAAACAGTGGTTTCATTCTAGTGTGGAAAAAGTGTTTCATTGGATACACTTTACACCAAAAGTTCCAATTCTACCTTCCAAAGTCCAAGAATTTTCAAATTTTTGTTCAGATGGAACCTTCTTCTGAAAAATGACTCTGGCAGAAACAATCTCGTGTTTTTTTTTTCTATTTGACACAAATATCATTCGATTTCCCCAATCACAACACTTGTCACGCCAATGACGGGAAACCGTGCCCAAACACAAAAGTGAATGAAGTAAATGAAATATTTATAGCAGGTACCAGTGCTTGATGTTGTTGAATAACCTATTGACCTCCATATGCGTTATTTGACTTTTCAAGAAATACCAGAACACCGCACGGAAGAATGGATATCAAGATTAACATCTGGAAGGTCTAGTGAATTCCAGTCCCATGAGATGGGGCTTCGGACATGCGACGTTTCTCCTGAGGCTACGTGAGACTTCTTCAGATATAATCATAACTTGTCATATCTAAGATAGTAATTATATCAAGTTTCTCATAAATGTGCTTCACTGACTGTTACGGATGCGAAAATAAAGATCTACTTCTTCAACTGTCTGCAGTAATGAGAGAATTAATTCTTTAAGAAATGTAAAGCCTGAATAATAATAATTCTAGAACATCCCGGCATATTCTGGAATATGATAGGAGCTCAAGAATAATCTGGAACGACCGCGAACATTTTGAAACATTAGGGACGATAACCCTTCATCCTTTATCCATGAAAACGTTTTTCTTTTCTACCTTGAATGCGTACTTTCGAAGATATGTGGGGAAAATTTTCGACTTCTAGAAATTTCTCTAACGGTCCAGAACATTGGAAAGTATTCGAGGGCATTCTACAGGAGTCCAGAACATCTGGAATGTTCGAAATTATACTGGGACGTCCCAGATCATTGTGGAACGATCAGACCTGACAGGTATCTGACAGGTACGCTTTTGTAGATACAAGGTCTGGATGTTTCGCTTTCTAGAAATTTCTAGAACGGTCCTGAACATTCCAGAGTATTTGAGAGCATTCCACAACTTCTAGAACATTCCGAAATATTCTGGAATGTTGTGGAATCAAATAATGTAAACTTTCACGGACGGAGATAACTGTGTGAAAGCTATTTTCCGGGTTTTTTGGCCGTGGTCTTGCTGAACACAATAAAAATCGTCGACTCGGACAAACCAACAAATCAGCTGTTGCTGAACATGCTCTCAACAAAGAAGGCACTCACATTATTTCATTCGAAGATAGAGTAATACTCGATAAAACTCAAAATTTCTATCTAAGAGTATATAGAGGCAATAGAAATCAAGAAGCGCAGGAATAATTTCAATAAAAAGGAAGAGACAACAAACATTAATGAAATATGGCTACCTGCCCTTACCGGAACACAGACAAGTTCAGGTAATCCAATTAAGAGGAACCAAGCAACGCCCACTGATAAATAATAATATAAAACCAGAGTCGAATACGAGCATCGTCGTTGGTAATGTCTACCGCAGTAGTAGACGAAATGTCAGACATAAATATCTGCAGACCTCGGTTATCATGATATCAACTGATATGAAAAAAAATTAACGGAGAGAAGATGAAATAAGTAGTACAAAAAAGAAGAGAACCGTCGCTTAGAATACTTCTGAGAGTTGCTCATAGAGTCTGCTGGTAAAGACGATTTCATAACGATAATAATCATAATTGAATACATAAATGATCAGTTCATCTATAAAATATTGTACAATGAGAAATGTACAATTATAAACAAACAATAACGAAAGAATATTACTTCAAGTGTGAATTTTTGAGTGATACTCAATCGACGTGAAGTATATTTTCCAAAAATCCTTTCTCAAAAGATCTACAATAAAATAGTAGGGCAATATTGACTTTGCAAAAGTTGGACAGCGTTTCGTTGAAAATCCTAAGAAATCTAGGTTAGAGTTAAGTTTTATAGGAACGTTTCTATACTTCTTATTACATACCGCATTTCCTTCTCTATGTCATATATTAAAATAAATTGTGGACTGCTGAGAACTATGAAAAAAAAATTCATTCTTGAAATAATTATCAAAATGTGTATAATAAAGAGGAGCAGTAGTAAATATTAGTCTGTTATACAACATTGAACCCATCAAAAATTATGCATAGGTATTTTATATACACTAAAACCCTAGTTTATATTTTGAAGAGTTCTCACTGGTATCAAAATAGGTAGCTTTTGACATTAAAAAAACGTTCGAAAGTAGAACAAATAGTAATGATTTCAATTCTACACTTAAGTTCTATTCAAAACTAGAATTCATTGTGAATGATGTGAAAAACACGAACGTACAGCGGGTAGTAATTTCATTTATTTTAGGACCACAATTTTTGTCAATACTCTCATAGATTTTTTTATGTTTTTCTTGAATATTTCCTGAACTATTCACAAAAAAAGCAATGACTCAAAGGTTGGAAATCTAAAATAACACATATAATGAAAAACACTTCGTTTTGAAACTTTCACTGAACAGTTTACAAAACCGCGACAGGTGTTTCACTTTTAAGTAACAAAACATTTTCAGAGAAAATTGCCATTTCTCGTTTTTCCCAAAGATATGCAGTCTTATTGAGTCTAGGAAAAAATATGTATATTACTTTAAAAAAATCAACGTTTCTCAATAGGTAATTTGTTATCTACAGTGGTTCCGGAGATTATGAATAAAATGAAATAATTCCGGTTTCAATAAATATTTCATGAACTATATGAGTAACACTACGATGATAATAATTGTTTTATTCATTATTTTAAAGTAATAAAGGTGAGTTCAATAAAATTTTCGGCATATTTTTCCCTTTGAAAGATATGGATGGAATAAAAATGTATGATTTTATTCAATATTCACCGAACTATTAAAGAAATTGGAAATACTAATAAAACGTTTTGCATAACTATGTGCATTCAATAAAATATATCTATTCATATTTTCCGATAGCTCAACCGTTTCCAAGTTACAAAAAACAGATTTTTATCAGATTCTATCTTTTTTTTAGTAGTATGCAAAACGAAAATATCTGGACAATTTTTGAAAATCCGAAAAAATTATTTGTCACTCCATCACGACAAATCCCTTGTGAGCAATTTATCGGGTCGTCATATATCTATCGGATTGGAAAATATTCGAATTTGAGCGTGTCAAATTTTTCTCAGAAAACGCCGAAAAACAGTTCAGGTGGCATAATCAATCTACAAATATCAATTGTTCACATCTCCTGGAAACATCCAATTTTCACAACTCCATGAGAAAAGTATAATGTTTTAGATTTGAGATTCCGATACTTTTTATCCTTCATCTACCAAGAATACGAGTATACAAGAATTATGGGATAATCATACGATTCTAATAGTAACTGGCATGGTATATTATTATTTCGGAAATAATTTGTGGTTTACTATGTCATCACAAGATTGCTCCTAGATCTAGTGCATGTTTGACTAACAATATAGGGGTAATCAGTTATGAATTTGAAACGTAAAACCCTTTTCTTCAATATGAATGATATTATAATTATATATCACTAACGGCTCCATTAGATAAAGACAATTTCGAGGGTTGGTTCTTTGTTGAACTTAAATTATAAAATATTTTAATTTTGATTATCTAATACAATAAATACATATTCAATGTAGGTACTAGGTTCAGAATTGTTTATATCATTTTATCGAATACACCTTCAGAACATTTCAGAAAAGGCATTTGTCGAACTCATTCATCATTAATATTGAGTGACAAACGCATTTAACGAATTAAACTAACTGTATGCCTAAGTCAAAACTAAAATCTTACCCCAACTGGTCGCATTGTTCTTGGCACATTATGATAAAAATTGTTCGTCAAGTTTGGCCTCAATTTCGATTTTGGAACATTTGGCACACAGTTGAATGTTTCCATGTCACTTGATTTCGATGACAATCGTATAAACCCACATCACATTATCCAAAAACCGAAATAGAAGTAGGTACAAACTTTCGAAGAGAAATAGTAAAAGAGCGCGAGCTGGGAACTGAACACCGAGAGATGTTTCATGTATCGACTGGCTAGCAGTGTCTGAGACGAGGATTCTCTTCTTGTCTTCAGTCCAGCAATAATTAATCCAGTTGAAATAGACATTTCCATCGACACAAATTGGAAGAGAGTTGAAAATTGGTACAGGTTTCAAATACACTATTATAAATAAAATATCGAAAGTCCCCACGGATTCCATCTATGTTAAAATTTGTATTAAAGGTCAAAGGTAAAAAGCATCAGTTTTTCACATTCTTCACGTTTATGGTAAGTTTTATTGTAGAAAAGGGTCAGGAGAAAGTTGAGGATTATTTAATTGTCTACAAAAATTGTTTCCCGATTTTTTTCTACGAATTACAATTAACGGCATATCGCCATTTCAACAGTTCAAGTAATCGAATTTTACACGAAATGCACACATTTCTGCAACGCCTGTGAGCTAGTCTATCTTACGCATTTTTCAACGTTGTATTCCTATCAGGAATAGTTTTATTAAACAATTATCAATTCATAAATGATAACGCTATGATTAAAGAAATGGAAAAGAAAAATTATTTATCGAAAGTATCTGAGAAAAGTTTCAGTTCGAGTGGTATTTGTAAAGACTATTTCCTGAAATATACTCAGCTGAGTGCATCGGAATGAGAACAAAATATCAATTCTCAAATTGAATCAATTTCACTACCCGCATAACGACAAAGTTCAACAAGAACATTTGTTTGAAAATACGTTAATGACTAAACTGGTATTTTTCAAGAGTAGGATTTCATTGTTGGAATTTATCGTGCCTTGACATGAGACCGCAAAGCTACTATTCAGAATAATCTTTCGATTCGAATTAAAAATGTCGTATTATACCATCGAAATTCGATTAAGACGATGAGATTTCTAAATATTATATATAAAATGTTGATATTATATTATAAAATCTGTTGAAATCTATTTATTATCATTTCACTTTCAGCCCCAATTTTCTGAGTCCTGTTCCGCCACACTCGACCTTGATATTATAATAGAGAACTCAATCCTTGAATATCGAAGATGAAAGAGGCACCCCAAGGCGGTCATCGACCGCCAAAGAGATTCATCCTGTGTCTTTCACTGCAGCTTTCACTGCAAGGCAGTAGAGCCCAAACACAACGCATTTATGATTCAACATGAGACAGCGCTGTTTCGACCCGTCATAGGTCTCTTCAGTGGTGCTAGGCTTGTGAAAATGAAAATTTTTTGTTTGCATCCGAGAATTTCCATGTTTGGGATTCGTATTGGAGTAATAGAGTCATATTGTTGATTTCGCTTATTTTAACCTATATTTAACTTACAGTGATATATATGGCCGCATATTAGTATTTTCGATGTTTGAAATCGCTATTGGTAGGAAAAAAAAACTATATTTTTCAAACAATCGCTTGATCTACAACTTCCATTTGACCTAGTTTTACGATAACACCAACCGTTTACGAGGAAAATACAAGGAAACCGATAATGTTTCCCTTTTACTTTCAATCCATTTTAAGCGTACATGGGATCGGTAGGGACTTTTGATATTTTATTCATAACGGTACATTAAATACCTGTACCATTGTTCAGCTCTGTGCGAATCATTGTGAGCTAACCACATTTTAGTTCATTTTGTCTGGATTAAATACGAAGATAGAAGACGAAGACGAGGCGAAACTCATGTCGTACGTAGAACGTTACCTCACTCGACAAACCATTATTTTTTTTTTAATCAACTCGTTTTCTGATATAATTATTTTACTTTTCAGAAGTAATCAAGTTCACTACTGCCCAGAAATGAGTGTTTTTCAAGCGGCGATCTTTAATTTCGTATTTTGTTGCGTGCCTGAAATATTTCTCAGTTTTCATGGAACTCGTTGAACTGTTACCTGCACCGACACATAAATAAACATTATTTATTTGCATTCGCACGAATCGCAGTCATTCATCTGCCAGGTGATTAGAGATAAAATTAATGAATATGTATGAGCAAGTAGACCAAATGTGACAGTAAGTCAAACCAGTACAAATGCTGCGAAAACTGTACCTAGGAATCACACGTTAAAAGGTAAAAGGGGTGATAGCTAGTTGATGAAAAAATAGATTTTCAAACAGATTTGTTTTCTCTGACAGACCTTTTTATCATGTGACAAGCGCAGGCGCGCCGCCGTGTTGAAAGAGCAGTAGTTCAAAAGTTTCGGGACGTTTCGTGTAGTAATGACTGGAAAAGCAATTATATCCACAAAAAAATTGAACTATTAGAATAAAATGTTTACGGTGCTGTACTCGTTCAGTTAAAACACAAAATTGTGAATTATTACAAAGGTCGTGGAATTTTGCAAATAGGCAAAAAAGTTAACTAGTTGAGAGGTTAGTTATCAATGCAGTGTTATACAAATCAAAAATATATGTAAATAATTATTGAATAATTTTATCTTAATAATCTTTGATAATTAATTTTTACCAGCAATAGAAACTTGATTGATCACCAACAACAATAATAATTAAAAATTTCAAGAGTAAGATTGAGGTTATATTTCATTATTTCACTTTCTTCTAACTTATTCGAATTGAATGTGATTGATTGAATATTTTTCACTATTTCTTATTCATACTCGTATATTTTAACACGGTTGTTGACGAAAAATAGTACGAAAAACATGGCTGGTGTTACGTATGCGCACAGAAAAAAGTGTAATGACAAAACCTATGTGGTCAGTCTAATATCTGTGAAGTTTTACTTTATATTTTGTAGCTAATTATAATATGTACTCTTTGAATGTAATCGGTAAATAGTTTTCACTTGATAGGTAAAATTGAAACCTTAATCGTGAAATGAATCTTTTGAAAATGCTTTTTCCGCGCCGGAGCATTACCAGAAGATACACCTGCCTGATGATGATAACTTGGTTAGCGAAAACGCACGTTTCGCTAGACGTGCGTCTAGACGTGCGTCTAGAGACAGTATTGTTGTTCCGTTGTAGGAAAAGCGTTTGTGATAGATAAATAGTTTTTTATATACATGTACGAGTTTTTTTAGAGTTGTTTCTTCAGTATTTGATTGAATATGGTTGACAATGTTTTTTTTTGTGAGAAAATGTGAAGAGATTTGAAATGTAAGTGAAGATGAATAGTTGAAATATTAAAAATACCAGGATCTAAATATTGGGATAAGTCAGTGTGAAGAAAAACTAATATAGTATCGGGCAGGCGATCCTCGATTGAAGACAAAATGAGAAAAAAACCAAGAAAGTACTTGATAAAAATAGCTGCGTAAACGCAAGCGAAACATAAGTGGAACCACCTATTGGTGTGACACCCAAAGTCAACTTGCCAAGTTTATTCAGTGTTGGTGGTTTGACCAATCAACCGACAACTGCGGAAGCAGAAATTTGGGAAGCTAACCTGAAATGCCATGGGAAAACGAATCCACAAGTTTCTAGAATTGATATGAAATCTAGAAAGGTTAATGCAGTCAAACTGCTGGAAAATAATCTAGATAAGTACTTATCTATAAGTACTTATCTACCCCCCTCGTGTTACAAAAACCAAAACAGTTCTCAAATGTAATCAGATTCCAACTAATTTTTCAACTTTTCACGATTTTCCATCTCTGATTTGCTACCCTAATTGATGATTCCATAATATCACCATTCTCAATACATTATTCAGCCTATGGGCTCGTTAAAAATGTGGAACGGGTGCAAAATAACGACTTATTAATTTCTCAAATTTCAAAGGATATCTTTATCGTTCACATACTTCAGTAACACTTTAGTCAACTATTATAACTATTTCAATGGTTCACTCCGTTTTGTCTTGCTTGTTTTGGCTCAAACCTCTGGATTAAAACTGACTGGACAATTCCGTCTCAATCAATAAATCACATTATCTTCGCTTATAAATACTACTTGAACAATTAAAATCACTCTAGAAGGATTACAAGATAGTTCGTTGCCCTTATATTTATTCAGAAAAATGGACCGTCTTTTTTATATTTAGTGTATATTTGAATATTTTTATAAGTTTAATAACCTCGCATTCAAAACCGTTTTCATGCTTTGATGCCACTGAATGCAACCACTCAGATATTCCATAAAATGTTCATTTTGTATTCCTCTTTGTCGTCTCACGAATTCAATCTCAAACAAATTTTGTCTTCTATAAGGTATACCGTGGGAATTCACGGAATATTCATTAGATATGTTAATTATGGATCATTTCAATGTTGAAATGAGTCATTTCTTGAAAATATTCTAATGCAACTCGTTCCCATCTTCTTTTGTGCAATCTACTACCTTAATTAGATGAATTTTTATTGATTTATCAATTCGAAATGATTTGATAGTCTATCAGATTGAATTATTTCAATTGACTAGAATCGTTTAGAAAGATCTACTTTACCAGTACCTACATACCGAAATTCTCCGTTGTTATTATTTGAAACAAAATATTTTCATAGAAAAAATTAACATTCTATGATAATATACGCAGTGGCTAAACAGAAACTAAATAGAGTCTCTGTGACAAACTGCATCAACATTTTAGGTAAGCGCAGTGACCTGTCAATTGCAGGGACACTCATTCCCGGTATTTTTGACTCCGCTTATCTCGCCCAGAATTTCAAAATACCTTGTATAAATGGCGTTTTAAAGCCCATAAAATTATCAATTTCGAAAATTTTAATCTGTTCAGCTACTTACCTAGTATTTGTTAGACTAAACGTCCAAACTGAAGACCACCTAAACCGTACAATGATAAAGAGCTGTTGAAACTTTATCGCACATTCCCAAGAGTTTTCAGAACCTTCTAAAAGAGGCTAACCGTGTTTTATAGATTCTAATTTCCAGTTATTGACACAAAAAGAAGTCAAATGACAAATGTGGTGACTGTGGCGATCATTCAATGCTTTCTTTTCTCCCAATCGAATGTACTGTACATATTCTGATTGACTCTGTCGAAGGCCTTGCATAAGTCTGCATATCATTTTGGTTGATGAAGGTTCTTTTCACCTTCATACTAAT